TATCGGGGTGGTGGCATACGGTGTGGCCAAACAAGGCATTCTCATTCACAACGACAATCGGCTGGACTGGATTCTCCGCGGGGCAGTTTATGAGCCATACCTCATCATATTTGGGAATTTTCCCACAGATATTGATAGTGAGTAGAAAAAAATACCGCTTTATCTGAAGCTGAAACATTCTGTAGTTTTGTCAAGTGAAACAATCTTTTTGCTATCTGCAGAAATTCAGTTTGACATAAACTCCTGCAGCACAAATGGCACAGATCCTCTGAAACCAAAGTGTCCTGTGCTAAATGAGGACCAGACACCAGCCTTTCCTGAGTGGCTCACCATCATTATGCTTTGTGTTTACTTGCTCTTTGCCAACATACTGTTACTCAACCTGCTCATAGCTATCTTCAAGTGAGTTGTCCTCAATATCATTGTACCCTTACTCAGTCGTAGTTTTAGTAGTGTGAGTCCTAAAAGTAGCTTAGATGCTGATGTCGTATTGTTTTCACTACTTTAGTCTCTGTGTACCTTTGCTTTCTTCTGCAGCTTTACGTTCCAGGTAGTGCAGGACAATACAGACATAATATGGAAGTTTCAGAGATATGAGCTAATTAAGGAGTATCACAGTCGTCCTGCTGCCCCGCCTCCTTTTATCATCCTCAGCCATCTTTACTTGGTACTGTGCAGGCGGCCCATCGTCTGCAAAGAGTTCAGTAAGTACTGAATCATTTGTTTGTGCCTTTGCTGAAAGTAGAGTTCGTTAAATTCAATTACATCCCGAGTGAACAAACACAAAACAAACTGAACCAGCTTAAAACTCAACTTGAAACTATCGTACACACAAAATAACCAAACACAATTCCTCATCTAACAACTTTCAACATAGTAACTCATCAGGTAGAAAGTGTCTGGCAAATCAACTACAGTGTTAAAAAAGGAAAAGCAATGATCCCATCCAGACCAATTCTACCTTTTACAGCAGACTGTACTCCTCCAATCGTGACATTAGATTATATGCTGCAGACCACCTCTCTTGTTTAGCTTTATCACCTTGTTAAGAACTTGATGTTAGACTACAATGGTCCATTCCTGAGCCAAATTATGGTCTTTATATTCAGGGCCTTGAAGAAAACATGTCATATTCCCAGATCTGCTTTGGCAAAACCACCATTTTTTTCCCTTTGCGAGCTTGTACATGGATGTTTTTGCAATGGATTTTACATTAACAACCATTTGTTATCACATGACCACAGTTCCATTCTTAGTTCACATGATAAAAATGTAATAACCCCCATAACAGCTGACTATCTCCACCTGCTGGAACAACTATTTGGACCTTGTGAAGAGTTTTTCTAGGTCAAGTGTACAATTCTAACTTTTTGAATTTGTTCTTTTTTGAGCTTGAACGTTCACAGCTAATCATGGAAATAATTAGTAAGTAGAGAAAAAAGTCTTAATAGGCTACAAGAGGCACTTGCTGGATTTTACAAAGTTTTCAGCTGCACTTTGTGGCCTTCATCAGCAAGTGGAGTTTGCTCAGCCGTCCCCGAGATGCTTCAGTTTTCCTCTTGATGATTCTCTGACTGTCCAGAGACACCTGGTCAGTGACCTTTGACCCCTTTATAGGTGAAGCTGTGAATGATTTTTTGGTACCAGAAACTAAATCCCAGTTTGTCTGAAATAGACATTTATGTGCTTATGCAAATGTTGAAGTATTATTAAGGTAATAACCATAATCTGTATATAACAATCCTCATATACAGTTTGTGGTAGTGACGTCAAGCATGTGACACTGTTTTTCAGAAAATGAGCTTGATCAAACAGAGGAAGAAGAGCTTCTGACCTGGGAGGCCTTGATGAAGGACAGATATCTGCTGTCCACACAGCAGGAACAGAGCCAAAGCATGGAGGGGCGCATCCTGGACACAGCCCAAAAGTAAAATTACACAAGAATGTAGCTCAGTATCCTAATGTACCCTCATCACAAATTTAATGTGTTTGAGTTGTGAGCAGTTCAAACAAAGTGCGATTATCTTTCTCAGATGGTTTCATTCATTATTTTAGAGACAGGTGCTGACAAAACTGTCCAGCATCTTGCTGCAACTAACTTTAAAAGAAACTCTGAAACAATGAACAGAATTTTTGCAGCACATATACTGTACTGTATTTTGATTTTGATGTATCCCATTAATCATCTTCTGACCTCTTTTTAGGGGCCTGGCCCCACAGCCCCAGGGAATTTGGTTAGAAATAAACATTAAGGCTTTAAATCAACCCCTAATTAATCTCTTTTTATTAATAATGGGTCAAATGACTATGTACTGTATAATGTGACTCACTATGACAAACATACAGTGAATTTACCAATCTTGGTACTTCCCCTTAGCTCTGCAGAGCAGTTGCATTGTCTTTCAGCAAACTGTTTTGGTTTTAAGGCCCAAAGCTTTATGTGGTTCATTCTCACTGCTCGTTAGCGTTGTTTCCAGCAACAGCAAGCAGATGTTTTTTTGGCAAGAAAAGTTCCGATGAATTCAATGTGCCCAGCACCAAAGAGCAGATTAAGAAAAGTTAGTGACGTAATTGTGAACACAGTGGAACATTTGACTGCTACAATGGCAGATATTTGCTTCACTGCAGTGGGTGGAGACCAGAGCAAAGCAAAAAGAAGTGAGATTATTGGACTTTGGATTGGATTTTAAATAAATCCTAAAAATGCTGCTCTGTAACTGTTGGGTGCACACTGTGAATAGGCAACAAGACTTGTGCATATTTGCTTTCTCGACACTTTCATGTGTGTCCTTTAAATAGAAGTCTGGGGTTAGAAACTGTTTGGATTAGTTTAGCATAAAGACCAAAACAGAGATTTAGTTACCATTGCACAGAGTAAAGCTAGCTGTTTCCCCATTTCTATGCTTTTTGCTAAGCTAAGCCAAGTGGCTGTAGGTTTTCATTGCTATGGTTTCGTAAGGTTAAAATTGTACTTTGGCTGAACATAGCAAGTTTATAACATCAAGCAATCTTTGAGTCATATTCAAGCATACTGCCCTTGTTTGTTTTCTCAGGGTTACCATCATAACCGATCGACTGGAGAGTGAAGAGGAGACGAGCTCTGCTTCCATGGTGAAAAGACTGGCCCGACTGGAGAACCAGGTTATGACACACCCATATGTGTTTTGTGGAATTTCATTTCCAGATGACCCTGTGAAAGATCAGTCATCAACGTAAGCATTTATTTAAAGTATTTCACCTTCTCATGGATGCCTCATCAGGTTCTCCAGTCAACCAAAGCCCTGCAGTGGATTATGGACCACCTGAAATCTCAGGGTCATGCTGCAAAACCAGCCGAACCACTGAGTCAGCAACCAACCTCCTCATTCATTATAATTGTTAATTTACATATTTTTGTCTTCAATTTTCAATTCAACACTCTGCTATAGTTTTTACTCACTTATATTCTTCGCTGCAGCTTCAATCACAAAAGATGAAATCCCTGACACTTTAACAAATCAGCCAGAGAAAGAGAGTGAGCTCCATGTGAACGCCCGTCACTTGTGCTACCCAAACAGCAAACTCACACGTTTCCCTGTGCCTGATGAGAAGGTGCCATGGGAGGTATGTCATGTACAATTCCACTGTAAAATCACCAGCTCTGCTTGAAAAAATGGTTTAGGTCTTTTGAATTCAGTTCGTTTTCATGTCCTCTGTTTTTTTATTAATTTTTTTAGGTCAGCTTCAGCTTATACGAGCCAAAGAATTATACCTCTGAAGGCAGTGAGGACCAAGTGGATGGGTATGTATGAGAAGACCATACAAAATGTTTCCTATCAGGCTTGTTGTGTGGATAAATTTGAAGCTAAATGTTTTTTAAATCAAGAAAACTAAAGATTTGCCTATGAAAATAAAGATTTTACTAGTGAATAATGAATGGTCCTCAGTTTATCCATGCATCCCTGCTGGAGGTTACATTTTGAAATATTCTGAGCTAAACTGAATAACTTTAGCAACTAACTTTTCAGACATAAGCCAGAGTCTGCTGCAAGGCAACCTCCTGCTAAACTCCTTATCACTTCAATTGTCTTCTTTCTCCCTACAGATCAGAATCAGATGCCTTGGATTCATACAGGTATGATACAAGATAGGAAACACAAGGCAACAAATGGCACTTGCAGTAACCTTACAAGCACATATTTCCTCTGTCATTAGAAACCCAGGAGGGAGGACAGGCATCAGGGGACGAGGTGCACTCCACCATTTGGGTCCAAATCGGAATATGGACCTTGTGCTTACACGGTAGGTCATCTCATGACCTTACAAATGGAACCTTTTAAAAAGGTTGTGTCACTGCTACTGGAGTGCATGGCATGATCTCAGACTTTAAAATAAATTTTTACAGCGGGCGAGTCAGCCAGGGCAGTGTATTGGAGTACCTGGCAGTTTGGGACGAGAGCCAGGGAACGTTGACTTTACCTGGGGTGAGTCCAGATGTTGATTCATTTCAGGCGTTATTTTAATGATACAGCTGATCTCATAAATGTAAAGTTTTCTTGTGTTTTTAAACCTTCAGGGACCTGTCAAAGCTGCTGATCACCTGCCAGTGGGTCTAAAGAGAATCATGGGGAAAACTCTGTATGAAAAAATAAATGCAAAAGTATCAGAGGGAACAAAGGTAGGCCTTTCCAACACTTTAGTTTGTCTTTTTAGAGTAAATCTAGAGGGACTGTTTGGTTTACAGATAGTCAAAAAATACACCAATGAATAAAAAAACAGCAATAAGTTCAATGAAGTAAAGAAATTCACATGCAAAGGCAATGTTACTATTACTTTTGGAGGAAAGCCGTGAAACTGGACACCAGGGGGCATCCCTGTATTATCTGCAGCTGGTAACAGGCACGTTTTGTTGAAAAAAAACACAGGATTATGGAATATAAGACTTTAAGTACTTGTTAGTTGTTGCATTTGATTTGTTACTGTGTTTTAGGTGTTTGAGGGTTATGTGGACGACTGCAGGAATACAGATAATGCTTGGGTGGAAACCACCGTCCTGAACATTCACCTGGACAGAACGAGTCCATTGATGGCAGATATAAATAATATGGTGAGAACATTATTATTATAAAGTTTGAAAAGATGTAGTGCATCCATTATTTTACTTTTACGGGAAGAACTTGACTGATATGTTAATTAGTCTCCTCTGATTTCTTGATGATACTTTTGGACAGATTCAGGTCATAATTCACTGAAGTGTGTGGCTTTGTCATCATCTCCACTGTTTTAGGTGGTGCAGAGCAACAATTCTCTTCAGTGGCAGGAATTGAGCAGCAAAATGAGACTTAACTCAAGCCAAAGAGACTCTCTACGGCAAGTTGCTGAGCTGCACAACAGGAAGTTCTGATTTTCACACTGCTGTATCTATAAGCCTGTCTCTTCATCCATAGGGTTACTTCTGCCTATTAAATGTGGCCTTTTGTTAAGGCAGACTTACATTAATTCTGTTGCACTTAAAGCACCTAAGACACTGTAAAGACACAATGCTGCTGCTGCTATCTACTCAGTTCTCCTCTATGTCAAGGTGTTAGTGTATGGTGCTTTTATTTGTTTTATTTTTTTTTACATGTGACCTTCATATAATCAAGCCTCTTAGCCTTTATAATTATTAAAACGTTACCTATACTTCAGATTGACTTGACTCCCAGTGTTCTCTCACTCTGTTCTACAGAGAAATTAAACTCCAGCTGAGCATTTTGATATTCCTTTATGCATATGTCTATATGTGCTCTAGTTTTCCACAGTGTTTTTCTTCCACCAGCCAAGCATGCAGCCTTGCTTTAGTTTCGGAGCAGCCTCCGAGAGCGTGGATTGGTTCAGGCTGAGGCAGCCACATGATGCGGTATCGGTTTCACACATTTAGTTTCACACCCTCCTCATTCCCTCATTCTGGTTTAGCATCTCTAGATAAGCCCCTTTTCCTAAGACAAAAATCATTAGACTGTGATCCACACAGTGGTAACATTATGTGTGTCGTCGGTGACGCCATGAACTGACAGGTAAAGTTCCAGTGGGGGCTTGAGTCAAAGTGTCCTGCTCAACAATAAAACGTGTTACTTTATTCGGACGTCCATGTTTTTAATATTATGAGTCCTGTAAATCCCCGGTGGCTCAGTGCCATTGAAAAGAGACTATTTTTAATCACAGTGTCAGAGAGGACGTAAAGAAAGAGCTCCCACTCTGCACTTATTTCATATCCACAGAGGGCAGCTGTTCCCAGAAAAGGACTCACAGTGCGACCAGGGTTACATCTCAGGTGTCTTATGGTATCTACAACAGCGACTTATTAAATGTACAGTAGTATAATGTGGAGTAAAGAGTGATATTTCCCCCTGAGTTGTAGCGGCGATAACATGGACAGAGTCAAGTACTAAGGTAGGCTACGTGATTGTGTACCGGAGTAGATGTACTTTGCTGTATCCCAATGGACAGAAATCTCCACCTTTTCAGCTTGATCTAACAAACACTGGCTTGTTTGTGAGACGCGGTCCTACTGCTCTCTGCCCATTTTCAGAGCGAAAGCTGGGCTACGTTTTCAGCTTTTGCTGGAGTTATCCTTTCATTAGACGATCTTCGAGGACGTCGCTGTACCGCGCGGTACAGGTGGACGGGCCAGAGTGTCCGGAAGTGACGCATGACGCTCGCAAAGCCTAAACACTGGGCAGTAAATAGAGGTACGGAGAGAGCGAGAGAACAGTCCAACACCGAGGGACACAACCGACAGAAACGGTAATATTCTCCGTTCTATATGATGTATATCGAAACCCAGTATTTATAGTGTAATTAAACCATCACGTTTGAGTAGTTTTGATGAGAAAAGATTTGATTTGATTGCGGGATGAGACTGAATGTGCTGATTGGGAAAGCTGTCCTGCAGCTGTATAGGCTTTAACACGAAGACGGACTCTTACTCCGACTATTTACATTGTTTATGAATGAATTCTCAGCTACGAATCAACATCTATTACAGCACAGTATCGACACAGCAAACCTGCACAACTCGTTTAAATCAGCGGAGGGTAAACAGCAGAAGTTCTAACGCATACAAGTATTGAAAGGCTTTCATTATGTAACCAAGAGGACTTTTGAGGTCTAGAAGAAGGCTCTTCTTGTGGAGAAGGAGAAAATTATAGACTGCTAAATTATGGTGGCTGCTGAAGAAATGTTTGTTTTTGAGTGAGATACCCAGAATGTGCTTTTTGTTTAGTATTTTGACTACGTGGCTAAAAAGAGTTTGCAGTCCTGCAATAAATTGTACCTTGGTGGTGAAGGTAATAATGTTAGATTGAACCTGATGTTCATTTTTGAGGCTGTAGTTTGTGCTGCTGTTGGATTAAACTCCAGGGCATACTGAATATTAGAAACACAGTTCAACAGATTTACAAATTGGAAACGGAACAAAGCCTACAAGTGACCACTACATCTGAATTATAGGGATGTAACAATTAGTCGATCAACAGGAAATTAATGGAAAACTATGTTTTAGTAACTGAATTATCATTTTATTAACCTTATGCAAAAATGCATTTGTTTGTTGGGTAAAAGAAGACATTTGAAGATGTGACCTTGGACTGGGGGAAAGTTTTAGAAATTATTTTTCACTGTTTGATGTTTTATAGACAAAACAGTCACTTCAAGGCAGGGTTGGTGATCCTGGAAAAAACACCAAGAGAAAGCTCGATTCTGAAAGTAGACAACTGAAGAAATCCCACCCTTTTGTTCTGACTTTGCTCCAAAACACAATGCGCACTGCCAGACTACTACTTAGAGGTTTCAGGAAAATAACAAATGCCTGCCAAACAAAACAAAACTAAAATACAGACACTGTGGTGTCATTTTTCAGCCACTTTTGTTCCCTTAGTTGTCACCGTCATTCAAAAGCCAACACCAATGTTCATTCTGGTTTTACTTCTTGCAGCATCCAACTTCTTTTTAGTTGTAACTTTTTGAATACAGTGTTACCCGCCCACACCTGAGGCCCCAAACTGTAGTTGGGAGCCTTGGTACATGGCTAAGTTGCTTTATCCTGGACTCAAAGACGGTAACTAGCCTTAGAAGTCCAGGCTTTTCTGGTGAGGAGAAGTGAAGGGGGAGGCCAGCTAGCCCCATTCAAAACATGGGCTTTATTTTGTCTTGGTAACACGAACACCGCATGTGGCCTCTGATGCCCGTTACAATCCTATCTATACACTTAGAGCTGGCTGCATGTAAAAGGAGTCTGTTCTGTGCGGCCGTCTTCTCACTGTCATACTGTCACACTGCTTGAAGGTCACAACATTACCTGTAAGGCTGTATGTGTTAAAAAGTGAGGCCTGGCCTGTAACAACGGTCTCTGCTTGTAAAAGAAAGCTGCTGTGGGTACCTTCTCTTGCTAGCTTTAGCTATCAAAACAGAGTGGTAACATGTCTGTCAGCAAGTGCAATGTCTTGTGGGAGACTCTTGGCTCACACATTGAGTGCAAGGGAAGACTGCATGCAAGTAGGAAGTAGGTTGACAGGCAGGTAAGGCAACCAGTGGTTTCGCTTGGGACGAGTAAAATTATTGGTCAGGCGTTTTTGAGCCCTGCTGCTGTCACAGATGATGGATGTTCTTTCTTTATGTGGTCGGTGCATTTAATGGATTCACTGCCATCAGGATGAAAAGAGAAATTCAAGAAATGTAACAAAAATGCTTCTGAAATGACTTGCCAACCCTTTAACAGAGAAAACAATCTGCAGTTTAATCAATAATGAGTATTAGTTGCAGTCCTAATGAAGTAATCCAAGTCCTAACAAGTCATTATGCACTCCCACTTTTTTTCATTGTACTATAAAATGGTAATTGGCTTTTAAAAAGTGTAGTTACTACTTTCAGGTGTTTTGAATCTTGTCAAGTTGTCTAGAGTCACCTGATTCAAGATGTGTGTCTGAAACTACAGCGTATAAAAATTACTGTGACATTGAATCAACACCTGTCCAAGAGAAACAGCTGACCAATAAAATCATCATGAATGTGTGAGTTATTGCAGGACAGTTGTATCAGACTGTATTAGTTGTATCAAATGAATTAGTGATGTCCAGGCAGTGGTGATTGCCTCTCTGTCTTCTGTCAGCTGTGGGACAGGTCACACTCACCCCCCGCATACTCTACATGAGAGCAGCTTTCGTCAGCCATCTGACACAAATCAAAGTCAGTCATTTGTCTGTCTTTCACAAAGACTTGATGTCACAACAGTTTTATGGTTTGACTGCGTTTCATTTCGGTCAGACGGTGAGAAGGGTCACACGTGTGACTGAGGGATGCTGTCTTTTGTCACCGCAGCAGCCTCATTGTGCTGAGTGGGGCATTTCCAGCAAGTGTCCATATGTGTCACTAATGGCTTTGCCTCTTTTGTAACTACAGTGTGCCTGTAGTGCAGTTGCAGGGCAGATGTATTCCCCCACTAACACTGCTGAAAGCTCCTAGGAGTTCTCTGTGTTTAACTGTGGCATAAAGACACAGTTGCCTTTTGAAGCTCTGTAACATATTTTTTATTATGTACCAGTAGCTCGTTTCCTGAAAGGAGACCATTGGCATTGATCCCAATCTGTGCCACCAACAAACAATGAGCAGATTGTTTTTCTTTTCAACAAGATGTGGTAGTGAAGGCGTGACTTTGCATTCAAGCAGAAAAGACAACATCCGTTTCATTACCAGGTATATGGTATTTACAGGCCATTAGCAGCAGGTATGACGACTGCTCAATGAATGAGGCTGGCAGTATCCTGTGTGGAAGTAGCTGGCAGCAATTTTATTAATTGTTTAATCAAGCAAAAATTGCAGTTGTGTGATTGCAGCTCCTCAAATGTGAAGAGTTGCTGCTTTTCTGTTTTCCTGGATAAAATAGAACAAATTGGACTCTGAGAATTGACTAAATGAATAATCAAAGAATGAAAAAAACTGATAGATTATTTGATATTGAAAATGTTAGTTAGTTGCAGCATTTATTTACTCTTTTTCTTATTGTCAACCAATCATATGAAAACACCAAAACCAACAATATATTACATTACTGTAGTAACCAACAGTTTTCTGTTGTTGTCCAGAAACTATTAGAAACACTGTTGACATGTTCTTTTATTACCAGAAGCTTGGTCACTGTTTATTTTGGCTCAGTCCCACACACAGTGCACTGAATACTCACTAGAGCATCAAATGTGTATTCATCCACAGCTGAAATTAATCCTAAACAAAGGTGCTTTTCAATTCTCTTTGAGCAAAATTGAGCAAAAGAAGTTAGAGAATTTAGGAAATTACTTAGCTTTTAAAAAATAAATCATAATATATATTATAATAATAATTTAATAGAATATCTAGCTCTGTAGAGATGGTCGTTGCAGCAGTAGACAAAATCTCAAGTTCCACGTAGTATCTGTTCTGGAGCTTTCAGTCACATCACTTGACCTTCATCAGCACGTTGTTTGCCCAGATGTTCAGATTTCTGAGCACTTTAGGGGCAGAGCAGGTCCTGATGCTGGCGTAGAGACAGGAAACTGCATCTATGTAATTGACATGTGTAGCGATAGCAGGACGCAGCCTCGCAGCTGGTCTGATCTCTCTAATCCTGGCCCCAGAGACTCAGCTTGTTTGTTTTGGGTCACATTTGTACAGCTTAATGAACAAGCTTGTTGGTGTGTTTCATGAGATAAAACATGTCAGGTTTTAACAGGTCCTCGGTGGAAGATCCAGCCATCAGGTGCTGTTATTGGGAGTCTTGTCGGCCTCCACTCCCCTTTCCACCCCCAGGCCGCCTCCTTTTTTCCTTACTGATGTTTCTGTAATGATGCTGTCTGAGCTCCACAGGCCCAGCCTCATCTCTTCCTTAGCTTACTGTGCACCACATGCGGGGCCAGCTTGTCACACTGAGTGCCCGCCTGCATGCCTCACATCTATATCAGACCACTAAATGCCAATAAGGACAACTCAGCTTGATTAACAAAGTAAGCATCTTCTATCTTCCAGGCAGCTGTGTTTTTTGTTGTTGTTGTTGTTGTTTTGTTTTTTGGCAGCTTTCCTGAAAATAGGGCTGCCATTTGTCACAGGGTTTATAAGACATTGGCAGACGCTCTGCTGGTCAGCCTGTTTGAGGATTGGGATTCTGTTGAGAAGTGGGTTCAGCCCAGCATCTTTTTATATCTGAGCAGGGGTGTTCCAGTTGTCACTGTGAGGGGGCTAGATAAACACAGCATTGTCAAACCCTAAATGTGGTCGGGCTTTGCTCCTAATATTATGCGGGCTTTACTTCCTGAAGCAGTGGTGGGTTATTCTTGGACAGCAGCCTGCTGGTTAGTTTGCATCTGCACTGTCATGTCTAGAAATTGATAACTTTATCTTAACATGTGGCCAAACACCATGAAAAATTGTTAGAGGAGACCTATTTACAAGAGAAGGTTTGTTTAAGTGGAAGCTTCTGTAATGTTTTGGTCGTGTGTTTGCACTTGAAACATACTCCTCTCTTGTGATGTGTCTGCAAGCTGAGCTTCTATAATTACCGCTGCCTGCAGCGCCTCATGGGGAGCATATTACACACAAGTGGAGGGGCAAGAACCAGACCATAGTGTATCTGAGTTGTCTCAGACCTCTGATGTGTGCATGTGTAGAGTAATATATGAATGCACAGTTTCTCCTTGATTATGGTATTAGATGATTTTTCTAATGCAGTCACAAGGTGCAACATGCTACACCTGAGTTGTCTCAGACCTCTGATGTGTGTATGTGGAGAGTAATGTATGAATGCACATTTGCTCATTGATCATGGTATTAGATGATTTTTCTAATGCATTCACAAGGTGCAACATGCTACATGTGACCAAAGCAAATGTTAAACTGGAACAACACAAGCTCAAGTGAGAAGCAGACTGTACAGTATTGACTGCAGCCTGACAGGTGTTTTTTAAAGTGAATACCACTTTTGATATTTGAGAGTTTCAAAATTTGTTCCATTTTATCATAAACAGAACTCGGTCTACCACAGAGATGCACTGATTGATCAGCAGAGATCGGAAACGAACTGGTTTCAGTGCGATTGTCCTTGACCAGTGACCAGCTGAGATTTCCAATTCTTTGCCTATCGGTTTTAGCAGCACAACAGTCTGTCGTGCGTGCGGTGGCACAGACCAAAAGTGTAGCCTGTGCAGCGCATAGCATCTTGCGTGCAACTTGAGGCTTGCACTCTTGTTTGTGACAGGTGCGTATTGACTTGGGCACTGGAGGTGCTTGGCGTACAAACATGTTTTGTACACACAGAGGAGGCTACAGAAACACCTCGGAGAAACTACATCCAAATCTCTGACAAATAGTACACAACGAGAGATTTACTGGCTACACATGAAATGCATGTATATGTACAGTGTATTCAGCCTGTGGTAAAACACAGTACACACTACACATGCTTAAAAAAAACTGTGCTCAGTTGGACTGATGGAATAGACATTCTTCTGTTTCCATTACCGGTTGCACCTGTTTATATTTGGAGAAGTACAAATATTGTACTCCGTCTTTAGTTGGAGGTTTTTAAAAGGAAAGTGAGAGAAAGACGTATGTAAAATGTGAAACCTTAAGACATGTTTTATTTTTATTACAATTGAATTTTTCATTAAATTAAAGCTACAAAATGACTGTATGTTATTTATAGTTCTTAAGAAAGAAAATCAGAATCAGCAGGTCAGACTTAGACAAAATCGGAATTGGCTAAGAAAATTGCAGTCGTTGCATCTCTGCTACTACAGTTAATCGTCAGAAAAATAATTGCCAACAGATAATCAGTTAATCTTTAAAGACATTTAGAGCGAGGCTGACAGAATGGAAAGAAAGGTATTTACACATCCTGGACGAGCCCCCGGTTTGTTATAACCTGACAAGTGACAAAGGAGGAAGACCACTCAGTTAATGAAATGTTTCAAATATGAATACAAAAGGTTATGTCTGTGAAGTGTATGTGTCTGTCTGTATGAGTGGGTCAGGGGAAGTGAGGGAGAGGATCTTACATGTCTGATGTACAGACTTCTGAGCCAAGCATCCTCAGGTGGGCTGCTTCTCCAACAAGGTCTCAGCTCCACCCTGTGACTTCCTGGAACAAAAGGAAAAGCACGACGACAGGGCCAACCCTGAGGCCGTCACAAAATGACCATGCTTAATGATGATGGCACTGTTAGCAGAGTATTAGTCTTGTTTTTCACATTATTGTGCTGGCATGATGTGCAGTGCATTCTTCCAGTACAGTTAGTGCTGTGCCCTGCGGCACCCTCTCGTCTTTTGTACAGCTGTGACCCCACATATTCATCTAACCTCTCACCCCAGTGAGCAGCAGGCACTAGCAGCAGCACCGTACAATACACCACACATAGCTACACATGTGTCAGCAGGCCCACTCTTTATAACAGCCTTCTTTTTGGAGGAAGGAGGAGGTGAGGTGTGTAGGAACATGACGTGTCGGCATAATTCTCTTTAGTTAAATACACAAAAGCAAGAAGCCCGGCGAGCCTTTGTAACATTTTATGTTATCTGAGACTTGCTGCTGTGTTCTGCATACAGTCCTATACAGTAAATCACTCTGAATCACCAGGTGCATTAAACAGGGAGGACCACACAGCCAGACATTTCTGCCCGCTGCTCCTCATCTGTTTGCACCTGCAGTTGTGTCTGAACTCATGATACTCATCAGATTGTTGTTTAGGATCCTCCGGGACTGTTGAACAGTCATTGTTATGTAATTTCCTCTCAGCGGGGATTTGGTCCGGCTGTGCGTTGTTGGTGGGCTTGGCACAGTAATCTGACAAGCATTATCACTCTGAGTCAATGGCTGTTGTGTGCACGACTCGCTCATTCACACTCCCCTTTATAAAATCATCCGATCAGCTGGGCTGGCCTGTTTGTCATCCTCCTTCATTCTTGTGCATTTTTTAAAATCTCTCATCTGATCTAAAGCACAAAAGTGAAACTGACCTATGCTTTTTCTTTCATCCGCTGTAAGAAAATTTATGGAATATTTACTTACTGCATTTGTCATTGTAATTGCATGGTAGTGGTTTTTTTGGTGACACTGCTAAATAATTAAATACTAATTTTTCTTTTACATTTCTTTTTCTTTCACCAAACACCATGTGATAGCCACACAGACTGAGCAGGCTTCTGTGGATGTCTTATTTATTTGTCAGTAATCATAGCTGAGTGTCCGTCCCTGGCTGCTGTGTGTGAAGGCAGATTGGAAAGCTAAACCACTGTTAGCTTACGTGTGCGATGGTGATTTTTCTCTTATTCATGTTGGGGACACAGGAGCTGTCAGTGCTGTTGTTCCGCTGCTGGTGAAATAGTAATGAGTGTGTATAACAGCCGAGCCAGTGTGGTTTACGGCTCTGTTGCGCTTGGAGGTGAGGCCAGGGCACATGGAGCGCTGACTGGCCACACATCAGATCTGTGTGTCGGCGATGGAGACAGAAAAGGAGGCTTTGGCCACTGCTGGAATAAAGAGAACTGAGGTCAGACTCTTATTAGCTGTATCTTTGGTTTGGAAATTTTTAAAAGAGGTTGTCCAGAGTTTATTTGCCCATGTACAGTAAAACATCCAAACCCTCTGAAAACAGAGTAAGAAGGGAGACGTTTTGGAAAAGAAAAATGTAAAAAAAAAAATGTTTGGATTCAAAACTTTGAGGCTTTATTCCATGGAAGACCGGTGCTTGAAAGACATTTCTGAAACTTTTGGATCAAGTAATGTAGAATTATTATGACAATCGTGATGGTTCTGACACTAACCTCCAAGACACTGCATGATAAGGCTGCAGCTAATCATCATTTTCATTGTCAGTTAATCTGCCTGTTATTTTCTTCGTTAATTGATTGAGCCATCTAGTCTGTAAAATACCAAAAATAATGACAGATTGGACTGAGGAAGCAGCAGGTTTAAATAGCTCCCACTAGGCCTGGACTGCACCAAGTGCCCAATACAGGAAAGGGGGGAGTTTGGGAGAAATGTATTGTTTATTTGTTGGTAGCTTATGTTAGAACTTTATTTGTCACGTTATGTTAATTTCTTTATATTTAAAGGAAATATTTAGTTGAGAGCAGACTGTTTGGTGTTTATTAGTTGATTCCTTTGGTAGTGTCTTTAGTTGACCCCTTGTGTGTGTTATTGGTTTGGCCAGCCAATATATATGTTCCCTTGTGTGTGTGTGTCGTTTGTCAGGTCAGTTGGTTTTGTTGAGGTATTAGACAGTTCAGTTTGCTGTATTTTGAGTTTCCTTATCTTTTGTCGACCTCTTTTAGGGCCCAATTTATCTGATGTTAATTTTGTATTTTTCCTTCCTTTTGGGTTAATAAAAAGCCCATTGTTTTGAACTTTGGAAGCTGTGTCTTTTGCCTTACTGCTTGGTCCCTGACAACTATACACCTATTCCAATTTCTCAGAGCTCTTTGGATCATCGTTTTTTGGTCCAACAACAAGTAGAGAAAACAAAGATATTCAATTTACAATTACTGATATGACAAAGTAAAACTGCAGATATTCTCACTGAGAAACTGGTACCATGGACATGTTGGCACCTTAGCTTGAGAAATGACTGAAAGGATGAACTGATTATCAAAGTAGTTGTGTATATATATATTTTTTTTAAGAAAAAGCACCAAATATTCTCAGGTTTTTGTTTCTTTACTGAGAAGATTTTGTTTTACAAACTGAATATCTTTAGTCAGGACCTTTTGTCAAAAATAAAAACCAAAACAATTTGAACATTTCACCTTGGCTTGAGACAAATTATCACCACCCCTCTGTTCATCTCAAGTGAAGACTTAACACCAGACACAGGTTGCTGTGCTGGAGGGCAGTTTCCACCTGAGGAAGCTGTGATCAAAGTAGAAACAAATGAGCTCAGGTATCAGCTGCTCTGCCTGTCACTCTCCCCAGTTATTTGAAACATTTAATTAAAGTTAAATGAATCACTCGCATATTGCTCACATGTATCTTAAACTGGGTTTTATTTGCTGCTGAAAATTTTGTCTGATAAGTTATTGTCAATGCTTTTGATTATTAATACAATCAGTATTTATTAAAGCTAATACTGTGGTATTGGTTCAGTGAAATAATTGCATCTTTAAAAACCATGGGAAAGCCTCTTCAGCTTCTGACTGACTGGCTAATTCTGAGACCTGCAATGATGCAACTCAAAATATGGCTATGAATATGTCATGATATATTACTGCTAATCCTAGAACTGGAGCTTTAAGGTCTGTGATCATGTTATGATTTTCTGAGAAGACGAGTACAGATTCAAGTATGTTTGGAAATGTAAAAGTCAGTACGTGTGACTTTTTGACCTTGCATTTGGATGTCTTGTACAGAAAAGTACTGATTGCTGGAGTGGTCTGAAAGCTGGCTGTTAAAAAAATACAATAGTGCATTATCACTAAAATGTGAAAAGATTCAAAACTGTACCATCTTAGAAAAGTTGTATTGTTGAAGTGCATGGTGTTTGGTGTATAAACAAACCGGTTAGACTACACTGAAAAGACATCCTCACTGCAAGAATAGTTTTTCTGTGATCACCGCAACAAAAAATGTGATCTCACTTGTGACTTCCAGTTAAGAAGGCTATCTGCATGAAGAAGGATATAAATCTGTGAACGCTACAGTTTTCAGTTTTGGCATGGGTTGTGTCTAGTGAAACGTGGGTTCACATGGAAAGGAACTGCCTAATCAAGATTGTGAGAATTCATATTGATGGTTGCAAAGCATCAGTAAGCATTCTATTTTATATCAGTTGGTTGGAGGTGTTTCTAGTTTCTTTTCGTAATACAATGTAGCCTTGCTTCTTTCGACATTGAGCGCAGTCTTGTGATCTGCTGACCTTTGGAATATGGGCCACAGAGCTTGATGCTCTCGCTTAGCAAACATGTCAGGTATTTGAACTGCCTACTCCTGTGGATATGTCTGTCTTTTTGTCAGTATTTAACTAGAACTCCGTTCTGGGGAATTCCCTGCTGTGTTTTTATATTGTACAGAGTCCATGTTTACAGGAGTGTGTCTGCAGAAGCAGGGCAGGAAAAACTGGTTACACCCACTCTTGTTCTCTTGAGGAATGCTTGACACTTAATTTTAGACTTTGCATTAAAGGTGTAGTTTTAACAGACCCCACAATCAGGCAGCACACTCATCATTCCCTACTGTCAGTCCCATTAGAGCCCAGCATCCTAGGCTATCTGCACCGTGACTCATTTCATTGTCATTTCGCACCATTTATAGACAGTGTTTGGACGCCTCCGCCTCGCCCCAGGATGCCAGACCAAATCCTCTGGCAGTGTCTCCCACTGGGGTGCGCCCCCTGCCCCCACCAGTCATCCTCCCCAGAGGTCTGAAAGGAGTCCAAGGTGGAGCATCTGTTCCTCAAGCCTTTCCTTTCACCCGCAGGCTCTTCCTCTCAGTTGTTCCGTTTTGATAATCTGTGATCACAGCCAGTCTCAATCCCTGCCATTACCTCTCTCACACACAAACGCACACACCTATACTGTACAATACAGACAAATAAATTACCACCACTTACCTTAGTCTGTGTTGCAACCCTTTCCTCTCCAGTCTTTTTATTATGTGGTGAATCAAACATTCAGCCAGTTTCCTGATGTCAAAATAAAATATTTTTGCTAGTAGTGATGGGTCGATCCACGTTTTCTGTTCTGATCTAATTTCGAAATGAGCTCTTTCATTCCAATAAAATAATCGACACTTACACACTAAATATTAAATATGAATAATGAAGGATGAATAGAAACGGGACATAAATTTCACAGATTCAGGAGCAAGGCCATTTGGCCTTCAATTTCATACATTGCCACTTGACTGGGAACTAAGGCCTGTTTAACACTGTTTCCCTTGGCGCCATCAGTGGTCAGGACTAGGATAAGGTTAGATTCACATTAAGTTACTAAGGGGAAACACTGAACTAGCACAATACAAACTTACACCTTCTCTTCATTGGTTGTATTGTACGATAGAACTGTACCCCGCACACTGGCTTTAGCTGTCTAATATTATTTGCTAGCAGTGGTGCCAACTCCTCGTTAAGGAAAGTAGGTATTGGCTGTCCTAAAAGTCGCTAGAAGTTTGCTTGTTTTTTTTTATTTTGCCATTGAAATAGGCCATCACTTCTCAAAATAACTTCATGACTTCAGTGCTTTGTCTAGAGCCACATTACATAAATCAATTTTGTCCCGTATTGTTAAGTGTTAGAACATCAAATTTAATCAAAAGACTTATGTGGAGCTCTACGTCCATTCCTCCTCCTTTATCCGGGCTCAGTGGCGGCTTTGCGCATGCGTGATTCATTAGCAGTCTGGATGTGGAGCGGGTCTCCTCTCTGCTCTGACTGTAGCTGGAACTGCAGCGAGGCTACTATGAGAGCTTTGGGACGGGGGAGGCGCTCATGGCAGTACCCGCTGCTCGTTGAGGACAATAACTGCAGAGTGATACGTGCTTTCATGTCAGTCTCCAAAACACCAGAAAAGTCTCCAATAACACCAGAAAAAGTCACTAGATTTGTCGCCAGTTGCTTTTGACAAAAAAAGTCGCCAAGTTGGCAACAATGGTAATTCCACGTTTCAATTCCCATTATGCATTGCCTCAAGAAACAGCCAATCACTAAGCTTCATATTCTGTGTCTATGGGGATAAAGAGGTGTGGTCATGACTAAAAATATTTTTAAGCGATTTAACTTAGTTATTCACACATTGCATTACTATCAAATGCAAGTATATTCTACTACAAATGAGTGCAATGGAACTTAAATCATTTGTGTACATTGTAATTGATTGTTTAATTAGATATGAAATCCATGTATGACAATGTACAAATAAACTGGCAAAGGACTGTATTCAGCCAAATATTTCAGATTTCTCAGGCACACTGGTTGAGCAGTGTAATCCCACACCTCCATTTTTATTTTCAGTTCATGGAAAACTATGAAGATAGTTGAGCCCTATGGCTCAGGTTTAAATAATGAGTTTAAATGTGCGTGTGTGCGTATGTGTGGTGTCCAGTAGCAACCATTTGCCTATGACGTGCATTCCAAAGACACTTGCTGTGATCTCTGAACACATCAGCAGTTAGAAAACTCTCTCAGACCAAACTCTACATCAGACCACACTCTACATCAGACTAAACTACAGAAAACCAAACTGCACAGTCAGCTCCAGAGCAGTTAGAAGATTAATTATCAGACCAAATCACACAGTGAGCAAGAGAGATAACAAATCTTGTTAAAATGCCTAACTGCAACAGAAGAAAAAGTGGAAAAAGCAGAATTACCCTTAAAAAACACACCAGGCAGGCTGGGAATGAAGGCAATGAATTCTTTGACACACCAAAAAGAATACATCGTGCAAGAATGAGGGAGATGAAGTCTTCCACTTCGACAATGACTCTGAAGAGCTTGTCAGTGATAGTGAACAGTCAGACTTGTCTGACAGTGACCAGACTGCCACCAAAAAGTCATCTGTGGTACCAGCAAAGAAGGTAAAACCCCAGTGTACTGATAAAGCAGTCTACCAGGAGGACAAAATGCCTCCCAGCTGGCTGTGGCCTGTTAACCCAAGGAAAATGAATTTCCAAGGGGTGGCTGACCAGAAGGCATGCCTGCAGCACAATGGCACAGACGTTAAACAGCAGGCACAGGACAGTGTCATAAGCAGAAAAGGCAGAATTGCCCTTAAAAAACCTCAGCAGTCAGGACAAGAATAAGGGGAGTAAATTTGTCTAGATATGTTTAAGAAGACAGGATGATGAAGGCAGAAGTACCCCTCAATATGTTGTCATGAAGGACAGGAATAAGGGAGGTAATGCCCTTCACTTAGGCAATAAGTCTGCAGAATCTGACTGTGACAGGAGCCAAAATGTCATCCAAGAGCCATCTGTGGTACCAGCAGACAGTGTGAAGCAGTCTACTGAAGAAGCAGCCAGCCAGGCAGACCAAAAGCCACAGCCTGTCAACCCCTGGAAAAATGTTAATTTCCAACAGGTGGCTGACCAAGAGACCTGCCTACAGCAAGCACAGAAGGGCAAGAATCAGAGCATTCAAACTCAGAAGAAGGCTTCCTGTTTTAGAAACCTAGGTGTTAGTGAACTGAATGTTCCACCTGCACTACAGCCAGCTATGACAACCAAAATCAGTGCACAGACTGCTGTTAACAATGAAAAACTCTTTGCAGAGACAACCAAAGCACAATCTGCTGATAAGAAGACCAGCAAAGAGTTTGAGGTCTGCTCAGAACAGACCAAAGAGGGCCTTCGTCACATCCCTGAGCTTGACCTACATCTGCTCATTCGCACAAAGGATGAGAAGATATCTGAGCTGGCTAAAGAAAAGGTTGCCTTGGTCAGAGAGGTTGAGCAAAAATGCTCAAAAATAAAGAATATGAGAACCTTAAGACCCAGAAATCCCCGTGGGAGGAGGAGAGGTCCCACATCCTCACTGAACACATGGACGTAACCTCCAGTTTGAAGGCAACATTGACTCAGGATTTGGAGAACAAAAGATGCTAGTGGGAGAGTGAGAAGACAAGCCTCCTTACTGAGCACACAGAAGCAACCTCCAGACTAGAGGCAAAGTTGATCCAGGCAGAAACACACCTGGAAAAGGAACGAATCCAGTGGAATCTGGAGAAGTCCCGCCTCATTAATGAGACCATGTTCACAACCTCCAAACTAAAGGCAGATTTGAATCAGGCGAAAACAAATCTGGAAAATGAACAAGACCAGTGGAATCAGGAGAAGTCCTGTCTTCTCACTAAACACATGGAGGCAACCTCCAGTTTGAAGGCAACGTTGGCTCAGGACTTAGAGAACAAAAGATGCCAGTGGGAGAGTGAGAAGTCCCACCTCCTTAGTGAGACCAAGGATGCAACCAACAAACTAAGGGCCGATATGATCCAGGCGAAAACGGATCTGAAAAATGAACGAGCCCAGTGGAATCAGGAGAGGTCCTGCCTCCTTGGTGGGACCATTTTCACAACTAACAGACTAAGGTCGGATATGATCCAGGCAAAAACACATCTGGAAAATGAATGAGCCCGGTGGAATCAGGAGAAGCCCGGCCTCCTTAGTGAGACCAAAGTTACACTCTCCAGACTAAAAGCAGATTTGAACCAGGTGAAAACAAATCTGAAAAATGAAAGAGACCAATGGAATCAGGAGAAGTCCTGCCTCCTCACTGAACACATGGAGGCAACCTCCAGTTTGAAGGCAACATTGACTCAGGACTTGGAGAGCAAAAGCCAGTGGGAGAGTGAGAAGTCCTGCCTCCTTACTGAGCACAAAAAGGCAATCGCCAGTCTAAAGGCAGATTTAATCCGGTCGAAAACAGCTCTGGAAAATGATTGAGTGGTATCAGGAGAAGTCCCGCCTCCTTAGGCAACCTCCAGTATAACGGAAAATTTCATCCAGGACTTGGAGAGTAAAAAAATGCCAGTGGAAGGAGGAGAAGTCTTGTCTTCTGGCCAAGCACACAGTGGAAACCTCCAGCTTGAAGACAGATTGGATCCAGGTGAAAATAGACCTGTACAATGAATGTCTCCAATGGAATCAGGAGAAGTTCCCTCTCCTTAGTGAACACAAGGAGGAAACCTCCACCCTGAATGCAGCATTTCTTCAAACACAGGAACACCTGGACAATGAAAGGCTCCAGTGGAATCAGGAAAGGTGCAGCCTCCTAGAGTCTGTCAGGACCATTAACCAGGCTATGTGCCTAAAGGAAGAAAGACTGCAGTCTATGGAGGTATTTGTTGAAAAACTAAAAACTTTGGAAAGTCATATGGAGGAGGTTCAGAAAAATAGAAAGAAAAAATCCATGAAGAAAAGATTCCTAAAGATCTTCAGGCCAAGCTGCAGCAGGCCCACCTCCTGATTTGGTAAGTCTTCTGCCAACCTGAACAGACAACACCATCAACTCTGACATCACACATTTACATTTAATAATTTTCTTGAATGCATGTATTACTATTACAGGGCGGCACAGCAGAACAGTGGTTAGCACTGTTGTTTCATAGCAAGAAGGTTCCGGGTTCGAGCCCCGTTCGACTTGGTGCCTTTCTGTGTACAGTTTGCATGTTGTCCCTGTGCTGCGTGTGTTCTCTCAGGGTGCTCCAGCTTCCTGCCACAATCCAAAGACATGCAGCTTAGGTTGATTGGAGACTCTAAATTTGCCCCCAGGAGTGGTTGTGTACCTAGATACACAACCACAGGGGTTTCACGTCAGTGACTTCTGTTCCGGTCCCAAGCCCAGATAAATAGAGAGGGTTGTGTCAGGAAGGGCATCTGATGTAAAACCGTGCCAAATTACTCATTTAAGTAATGGGAACAGCCAAAAGTAAGGTAGTAGTACATGTAATAAAACAATGTAAATAAAACAAAAGAATGTTTCAAAATGCTGGTGGTGGAGTTCATTGTAACTATCTTATATGCTTATTTGAATTAATGCTGAGTAGCTTGTGAATTTTTCACCTGGGTTCAATATTTTTTTATGGTTATCTTTATTTAATTTTATTGATCTGATTTTGAAAAGTATTAGCTAAGTTTGGGTCATATAGTCACAAGAAAAAGTATTGGCACTATTTTCAATTTCTTGGTTTTCTGCATAAATTGGTCATTGAATGTGATTTGATCTTCACCAAAATTACAAATATCAACAAACACAATATTTCTATGCTAATAAAACATATGCCATGGCATTTTACCCACTAAGACCAATTTTAACCCAAAGGTTTTTTAGCCAGTTATCATTTCCTTTTTAAATGCACCTTAATATACTCAAAATAAAACACACTCACTGTATTTTGAATGCAAAACATGAATTTAGTTAAAATTCCAATGAAAAAAATTAAATGTATATACAACTTGTGAAATAAAATAGGGCCCACACACACTCTCACTCTGCTAATTAAAATAGTTCTTGAAATAAACAAAAGTCGTTGCAGGCCTGAGTCGATGCTTGTGTGCGTTGTGGTCTCAAACTGAGTGACCCTTTCACCTGCAAAGCAAGCCAAAACAAATTCTGAATGTACGTGCACAGTTTTACTCACAACCTCCATGGACAGTCAGTTGGATGAACTGGTTACTGGACAATGTTGGAATGATAAGATGAGGGGAACACACGCAGACAACAGGCGGCATCAACAACTAGGCGTGGCGGCAACGTACTGTAGCTGAACTCCAGGTTATGCGACGGGATTAAAAACAAAAGCCCAAGGAATGTCTCCGGGTCCAAGTCCTTCAGCGAGCACACACAATGTCTCTTAGTCAATTTTCTCAACTAAAAGTCTCTTCACACACTCATGCTGAGCTTGTGGTGAAGAAGGAGCTGAGCTGTAAGGCGAAGCTCTCGATTTACTGGTCAATCTACGTTCCGACTCTCACCTATGGTCATGAACTTCGGGTCATGACCGAAAGGGCAAGATCCCGGATACAGGCGGCCGAAATGAGCTTCCTCCGCAGGGTGGCCGGGCGCACCCTTAGAGATAGGGTGAGGAGCTCGGTCAGAAGCCGCGGGGAAGACCCAGGACACGCATGAGGGACTATGTCTCTTGGCTGGCCTGGGAATGCCTCGGCATTTACCCGGAGGAGCTGGAGGAAGTGTCTGGAGAAAGGGAAGTCTGGGCACCTCTGCTTAGACTGCTGCCCCCGTGACCCGGTTCCGGATAAGCGGAGGAAAATGGATGGATGGATGGATGGATGCTGAGCTCAATTAATTTTGCAGTTAGCTTACAGCATACAATAGAATTAGCCAGGTACATTAGCATCAATTAGCAAGCCATATAGCAACACCATTAAAGCGAATGCTAACATGCCAGCAGGTGGCGATAATGCACCTTAGGTTGGCTTGCAAACCGCCAATAAACACCATTAGAAGAAGAAAAAGAATCCTAATATGCCACTAGCGATCTTGTACACCTCTGTATTACACTTTCTGAGACAGATAAACATGTCATCACAAAGCATTTACCTTCAGAAATCTCCCGTTACACAGCGGTAAACTCTGCATTCACCAGATAATGAGAATATCCTCCGGTAGTTTAACTCTTGTCTGTGCGCCAGGTCACCGTCTGTCCTTTCTAAGATGTATGGTATGGTAAGCCCAGTTTCATTTTTGCCAGCACTGGATTCGAACTCGGGATCCTCTGAATTTCTCTTTCCAATTTTTGCCCCCTTCTTCTCCTTTTACAGACTATTCTTCTCCAGCTTTGACATCAATATCGAACCGGATACCGGTATAGGATTGGATCGGGCCCATCTCTATTTGCTAGCACTCCATTCGTGCATTATTTTTGCAATGCACTGTATTCATTCATTTAAATCTTTAATCTGTATAATGTTTATCCTGTCACTCACCCATATGAACTTGTTTCCCTGCTCTCTGTGTGTATGCAGGTGAAAAGCAAGGTGGAGCCAAACCCTTGCAAGAATCGCACTGCAAGACCTCTGAGATGCTCAGAAACCATCTGACAGGTCAGTACACGGACACACATGCACACAAATGTACTGAGAAGTTGAATAGCTGGATAAAGAGGTTATACTGACAGTAAGTGACAGACACTCAGTGACCTTTGGGGGGAGAGATTTTTCTGACATTCTGGCTCTGACCTTTTCATTTTTCTGACTGCCATAGCTCTAATTTTTTGAGGAGAGACTTGTCGGGTTGTTTGATTTGAGGTTTGAGAGCTCTTTCGTGACAAAATTCAGCTGATATCAACATAAATAGTACAGGCTATATGCTGAAATGTGGTTTCATACTCTGTAAAAACATCAAATGCTGAAGTCTGTCAGTGTGTGAATTAAAATGTGTGATTAAAAACATGATTCCAATCCCATGTCTATACTTTAAATACAGGAGCAGGTCTGAACTGTCTGCGTGTGACTGTATGGGTTGTATGTTCATTTTGGGGGCCACTTTCTAAGAAGGCATCATTTATAACAGGTTTTTATGTTGCATATATACTTTACTGTTGCTTTATAGATCAGTTGTAAGTAAGTAAGAACTATTTTTTGATTACCACAAATATCATCTTAGAGGAAGATGTTAGAAAAAAACACCATCATGTCAGGTTTGCTCGGCCGCTCTGGCCTCCCTCACCTTTCCTACTGTCTCTTGCCCATTAACACTAATCACGTTCACCTGTTCCTCACTCCCTTATCACCAGCTGCACTTGATTAGGTTGCTCACTATATTACCCGGTTTCACTCCTCAGTCACTTGCCAGTTCGTTCTAGTCTCTAGGCCATTTTTTCT